GCAACCCTAGTTCCCCCGGGGCCCGATTTGCTGGCGTCGGGTAATGGGCCTCTCAAGCGGGGGTTTACCCGCCCCCCGGGGGGGCTTGGCAAGCCTAGCCATCACTGTCATTTGGGGGGTGCAAGAGGGGTGCAAGTGGTGGCACCCTCACTGTTGGCCTGCCCAGGAGCCCCCCTGGAGAGGGGGACTGCAGCCCAGAGGCATCTATACCATGGCCAGTAAGCCTGTGGGCTGACTGGGACCTGGATACTCCTTTGAAAATACCTAACCAACCCAAAACAGGCAGCAAGACAGGTAACTGAGAGACTATGGAAGCTCATCTTTTTGAGAGTAAGTGAAGCACAGTGGCTAAGAGAATCAGGAAACCCTGGTTTCAATCTGTCATGGGCTCAGTATCCCTAGGGAGGCCTCCCTCAGCCTCTGCCCTTATATCTAGAGACTGCAGAAACTAGTAACCTATCATACATGGCTGCTGTAAGGTCCACAAGATAATGTTATGTGAAGCTCTTAGAATCCTTAAAAGCACTCTGAATTTTTGATGTTTAGTGGTAGTATTCATATAGACAGTTTTTATTAAACTCTAGGAGAACAATCTCAAGCAACCTCCATTTCGGGAATGTAATTGGATCCATAGAGAAATTTCAGACTGAGTCTCCCTGATAACAGGGTTACACCACCCTGCCTTATGCTAGGTTAGTACCATTATTATAATTCCATTACATTTATATCCTCTCCTCCTTTCCATCTTGAAATATCTGTACCAGGCATTCATAGGCAGCATTGATAGGAGGCCAGCATTCCGAGAAGGTCTCCCATCCAACCACTGAACGGACCCAAACCTGATAAGGTTCAGCAAGGATACTGTTTCTTTAGCTCATACATTTTTATTCTGCCCTTCCCTCCAAGGAGCTCAGGGTGCTTCCTCCATTTCATCTTTACAACTACCACCCTATAAGGTCAGCTAGGCCAAAAGAAGCAGTAACTGGCCCAAGGCCAGTCAGTGAGCTTCATGGTGGCATGGGGATTTGAACCCGGGTTGCCCAGACCCTAGTCTGACACTTTAACCACTACACCACACTGTATTGCGTGCCCTTCAGCTATACAGTGGAACCAAACTACTATGGCTTCCCACAGGTAACCCTCACTCTCCTCAAGGCTGTCAACAGAACCTCATACACACATATCCAAGGTTACAGGCTACTGCACTCAGACATAATTCTAAGTCCAACAATAATTGTTAATGCTTTCTGTTTTTCTTTCTTTTTTTAAAAAACCTGTGCTAACGCCATGCAGCATTAAAAGCATTGACCTGAATCCTGAGCTTGGAATGCTTTGATTTGTATAATGCCTTGATAGTGAAGGACCATGTGCTTTGGTTTCAGCTTTCAGAGTGTTAATTAATAAAGCAGATCTCGTTAAAAAAAAAAAAACATCCAACAACACAGGCGTAGGGAATAATGTGCTGATGAAAGAGCTGCTTTGGAAAGCATTCATTCATCACTATGCCCCCGTTTAACACAGCAACGACATCTCCTGCTTTCCTAATGCTCTCCTTAAAATATCAGACTACTTTAATTAATGGCCAAGTACAGCAACGTATGCTTTCAGTTTATTGATGTAGAATCTCGGTGAGTGCAAGAAATCTTCCCACCATCCCCTGCTGCTTTAAA